GGGGGGGGGGGGGTTGTGAAGGACCATAGCTTGGTTTCAGTTCTTCTAATGCAAATAGCTCTGGAAAACAACTCCAGCCTGAAACCCTAGAAAGCAGGGTTTAAGCAGACAGTAGAAAACCAGGTGGACTCATAAGCCTGGTTCGCACACAGAATGCTAACCCATGGTATGGGTTGTTGAATTCTGGGTGGTTGTGCCCTCGTGCAAACCCAGCTCGCTAACAAACCATGATTTGTTGAACGGCAAAAAAGCCTGAAGGAGAAGCCATGGGCTGTTGAAACAAAGGAACCACAGGTTGGAACTTCATGGCACATCCAGTTCCACATGTCGCTTGGCTCGAGCCGAGCACAGAGATGCAGGAAGGCAGAACGGCGGACCAGAGTGAACCGTGGGTGCGGATTGCCATCCCTGCCACCACCCCAGTTGGCTTTAGAAATACGAAGAGGCGGCTCAGATGCTCTCGGCTGCCTCCAAGCAAGCTCTTACCTCCTCGTCCCTTCGATGATCGTCTTCATGCACATCTTGAAGACGTCTTCAAAGGAGGAGGTGAGCTGGCAGCCCTGAGAAACGAAAAATGAGAAGAGTGGCCAGAAAGTCCCGGGTCCAGGCACGGTACTTCCACTTCAAAGGATCTTGGACACTGCCAGACAGAGCAAAACTTTCTGGGGTAGATATAGGAACTGCCGGCCTGCTCTGTTTTCATGCAGCTTATGCTCACTGTAGTTTCTCCCACGTAGGGTTTCCTTCCCTCCCTAGAAGTGTTTTCTGCCCTTCTACAGGCTGAGAGAAGGTAGAGAAAACAGGGCCTTTCTTCCACTCTCTTCTTAGTTTTCCTCTTCCCTCCTCATCCTCCTTTCCTTGCATGACATTCTTTTTTCAGATGGTCAGCCTAGAGAGGCCAGGATGGGATTGCTCTACTGATTACAGGTAAGTTGGTGCAGAAGACCTTTTGGCTAAGGAATGGGATAAAAGCACTTCAACCAACTTGTATTAACCTATTAATAGTCTCCTGAGAACCTTCCAGTGTATCTGAGCATGCAAAATTCTCCCTGCCATGGCTGGATGGTGCTGTTTTTGGCCACTGTTTTTGCTTTTGGCTATAGCTGGAGGCATATGGCAGCATTCCCCTAACCACTTTGGGACTACAACTCCCATCAGCCCCAGAGCAGCGGGGCAGGAGTCCAAATACAGGGCCACTTTCCTTCCTTCCTTCACATTGGATTTGTTGGAACTAACAAGAGAGCACTGGATCCAGTAGATTCCTCAGCTCTCCTCCAAGAGGACTAGTCTGATGGACAGGGCTGTCTAAAAGGAAAGCTGGAAATTCAAGATGCGCCACCCACTCACACTGCAGCAGCTTCCGGGAAAGGCAGCGGGGTCCTCCAACCACACAACGAACACTGAACTTCCCAGTGCCTCCTGCCCAACTCAGGACTTACCTCGACTTGTTTATGCTTGGCATCAAGGAAGGGACCGAGCTGAGAAGAATCAGAGGAAATGCAGGTCACCCCAGAGCAAAAGGCCACCCTACCCCCCGCTCTCGGCCGCAGCAATTAAGAAAGTGCAGCCGAGGGGAAAAGGATGTATTTTCATTCCAAGGATGGAGCGACAGGAAACATCGCAAAAACCCCGGTGTTTGCCAGATAAACTCTTCCAGGCAGAGACTGATTTGTGTCACAGGGCAGCCGCCGCCCACTCCAGTGCATGCCAGATGTGCTGGACTACAACTCCTATCAGGCACAGTCAGCACAAGTTCTTTCTGCGTCAGATTGCAAGTTGTTTTTAAGGATGCATGAAGATTTGGATGCGTTTTGGCATGCACTTCCTTCCTTTTCTTCTTGCTTTTTTGGGGGGTCAAGACTTTCCCAAAATATAACCCTGTTTGTCCACAGTTGCCCCTAAGGGATTCCGTTTTGGACTGGACCTTGTAGGATTTGAAGGGTGCGACACCCCACCTGTTCATATTGAAATGCCGACCAACCTTGTTTTATACCACGATCCCTATGTATAACCCTATAAAACGGCATCACAAAAGTGCCAACCGTACCAAAATGCAAACATCCGGCTTGTCTTTATTGATGGTATCGATCAGATCCAACATGGGGTCGTACGTGAAGCTGTCTGAAGTGGTATACGGGCCACAAGCGACCAAGACCACCTGGGGCTCGAAATCTGGAAGAACAAAGGAAAAGGCTTTCAATCGGATCTCAGGTTGCCGTGACGATCCATCTTCTTACCTTGACACTTGCCGGTTTGGGACTAGATTAAAGGCTGAGAGTTCCCGCTTAGGTCAAAAACTGAAATGGAGTGTTGGACATTAACTTGAGCTCCTCTGTGTGTGTTTTGCAAACGGTAAAGTTTCTAGTCCTTAGGGATGCATGGGGAGGGAAAGATCGGTGATGATCGTGGAAGCCGAAACCAGAAACTGAGCATGGTTTTTTTTAAGGCAGCAGGGAATTAAAAAGCTGGAACAGGGTGAAAGATGGGAACTATTCCCCCTGCAACCCAGGCCTATGGGTCCCCTCGATGTTGAAGGACTCCAATCCCCAACACTCCAAGCTGGCATGGCTGATGGTCATGGTGATGGGAGTTGTAATCCAAAAGCTCTGGATCCTGGAGAAGATGGTCTAGACAACTTGAGCTTTTGTGCCTTTTCTTAGGAAACAAACAACCCTGTCTAACTCACCTCCTGCTTGCTCGGCCGGTTGATGGAAAGGGAGTGGCACCCCCTGCAGAGAGAAGAGAAATTTGCAGCGTTCATACTTTATTTCGAAAAGAGAGGCAAGAACGCTTATCCCCGTTCAAGCACAAGAGCAAAATCTCAAGCTTGGCTGGACCAGTTGCAGGAATAAAAACTTACGAGAGAAAGTTAACTCTGAAAGCCCAGGGAACAGAGCACGATAAAAACAATAGTAATTATTATTAATTTTATTTATTATATCTATACCCCACCTGCTTTCCTTTCAAGGAACTCAAGGCCACTTACATAATTCTCCTCCTTACAACAACCCTGTGAGGTAGGCTGGGCCGAGAGCCTGTGACTGACCCAGCGAGCAGCACAGCTGAGTGGGGATTCGAACCCAGCTCTCCCAAGCCCCAGCCCTGCGCTCTTAACCAAGACACCACACTGGCTCTCAGCCATTTAAAATCCTGAAAGTGGATTTTATTATTCAAAAGCCACTTTTATAGAGGCATCCGAACTTTCTGATCAGGGAAAACCTGCACCAAAGCCAGCTAACCACCCAATGATCCGTGGCTGGGCAGAAGGCAAGGGCAGGGAATGGAGAGCAGAGCCCTGGACGCCAGCCTGGGTTGACAGGAAGGCCGGGTCCTGCTGCTCGTCCTCATGTTTTCCACCCACATTTTGGCACCGAGGACAGAAAGGGCAGCTCCCAACGTTCTTGGGGTCTTTCCCACCGCAGCCAAGACAAACCCGCTCTGGAAGAGGACATCGCTGGTCAGATCAAGGCCGGTCGAAGGGACTCCGTGCAGCGCGTCCGTCTCCCTGGCTCTTCCCCCACGGGGCTCTCGTCTTCCCAGGCATCTGCCTCAGTTTCCCAAGAGCAACTGATGTGGCTCACCTCAAACAGTTTGGAGGCCACCAACCGCTCGCCGGTGCTGTTCATGCCTTCTATCACCACCACCTTGCGGGACGGAAAGACCCCGTGAGAGAGACCGGCTTCACTTAGCACCTCCCGCAAGCTCCGACCCTGACCGACTGCTCCGTTTGATCTGCCGATTTCCCCAGCTGGATCCCAGCTTTCCATGCAGCCGAGAACCCCTGGGAAACCGGGCTTTGCGTCCTCCGATCGGAAGGAAAGCCATCCCCGCCGTGCTTGGGACAAGCTGCCCTGTGCTTCATCCATCCCACAGTCCAAACGGGGGCGATCCCTTTGATCCTCACAACACCCCAAGTAGCCCAGGCGGAGTCTGTGAGCAGCGCAAAGTCACCCAGCGAGTTCCATGGCTGAGCGGGGACTAGAACCCCGATCTCCCAAACGCCAGCCCAGTGCTCTAACCACTATGCAACACTGCCCCTCTGTGGAACACTGCCCCACCTCTCCAAGGCCTGCCCACCCCAAACGCCTCACCTGTCCAGGGAAGAGGGAGTACTCCGGCAGCTCTGAGAGATCCACAGGAATCAGGCCTCCCGAGGAATGTTCCAGGTCCCCTTCTAAGACGACCGATTTGGCATTCAGCTTCCCGTTGGAATCGCAGCCAATCTGGCCCAGGACTGTCACCGGCTCCTTTGCGTTGTCATTTCCAAACACAGCACAGAGAAACAGCATTTAAGGCGCAATTCTTTTTTTTTCTCTTTTTGGCAGGAGGAAATAATTTTAATTTTACGATTAAATTAAGCGGTAAAAGAACTCAAAACACAGGTGCACCCACAAGGATTTTTCCCCTCCCTTTTGTCCTTGTGTGCCATGCCTCTATAGATTAAAAGTCTGCAGGGCAGGTACATCTTTGTTTTCCTGACTGTATATAAAGCTACTCTGGAAGCCTTTTACTGCTGTTTCATGGTTTTGTTTTGTTTTTTTTGGGGGGGGGGTTGGCTGAAAAGTAGGATAAAATATTCTGAAATAAATCTGATTTATTTATTAAGGGGAGAAAAAGCACAGGGAGAGGGGGAAAAGAATGCATAAATAATAAAGCGAAATACAATGTGAAGGATCTTTGACTTGGTTCCATAAAATAATTACATCACACATAAAAATAAAAATACAGTGCCTTAAAAGTGGTTATTTTAAAACGCAGATCAGCTGATAGCAGGCCTACAGGGTTTCTTTCTTTTCTTTCTTTTTTTTTTTAACAGAACTCAGATCTGCCAAGGATAAGCTACTAAAAACACATGCTTAAAATTAAAAATGTTCTAAAACCAAGGCTCTGTTTGGAGTATGAGAACTGAGCGGAGTATATCGTCCTTCTTGCAAAACTGTACAGCTGCCTTCCCTTATGCGAGCTCCCAAATTATCATCATAGGAAGCCTTGCTGGTCATTCAACGATAAATGAAGTATCAGGCAGGGCCTTCTCAGCAGTGACACCTACCCTTTGAAACACCCTCCCCTGTTCAGTTTCAGAATCAGAAAACATGGCCTCTTTCATGCACCTCCCAGCAACGTGCATTCGCCGGCTCAAGATCATAATTAAATTAACTATACGCTTCTATCTTTACTGCTCATCGACGGCTCTATAGCCTTGCCATTAATCCTGCTTTTCATATTGTATTTTTCATCCTGTTTAAAAAGCGATTCAAACATTACCTGTAAACTGCTTAGGGACAGTATTATTTTTAAATGGTGTGCAGGTTTCACAAATAAGTAATTCACCATTCGTGGTTATCCTGAGTTTTGGTCAATTCAGCATCGTAACTGCCACGGTTCCACAAGCAGCAGTCAAAAATTCTTGCTGGTCTTTGGCAAAAACCCTTCAGTCTCTCTCGGTTTAAAACTGGGGCAGGGAACCAGCCGGGCTAACCCACTGAGTTAGGCAAAGCAGCTGTTTTATGTGGGGTTTTGTCTAGATCCCTTCCTTACCCAGAGCTCCGTGGGACAAACGTCACCTGAGATTATGACCCACAGCAGGCTGGGTGAGGTCCTCCAGCTCTCCCATTTTAAAACGTCAAGGGGAGGTAAGCAGAAACCCATTCAATCTGGCAGCTCCAACTATCAGCCCCAGTTATTTGAGAAGTGAATGTACCTGCCACATGACCCAGTGAAGATCCATGCCCTGTGCAAAAATTACCCAATCTTAGGTACAGCGATCTTACCTGCACAGGGATGATCAAGGAGGAAAATTCTTCTATTTTGTAGTGTTCCTTGAGGGCTTCTCCCAGTTGTTCAATCTTACAAGATAGCACTTATGAGAGAGAGAGAGCGAGCAAGAAAGCAAGCGGGAAGGAAGGAAGGAAGGAAGGAAGGAAGGAAGGAAGGAAGGAAGGAAGGAAGGGACAGAGAGGGAAACTGAGATTAACATGGAAGAACGATGGAAAAATAGACGAAAAACGGATAACCCCCAAAGATCCCACACAAAGCCTTCTTTAAACTTCTTTAAGAAACCAAACTTGGAAACTAAGTAAAGGTGAGAAGGACTGGATCAAGGTTTTGCACTTGAGAGCACAATTCACCGAGTTCAATGTTTGTGAGCGGCGTGACTCGCACACCTCGGAGCATCTTCCGCAGAGGATATTTTTAAAGGTAGTACGAAACTGGACTTAAATTCTATCTGTTGCATCAGGTCCCCACCCCAGTAGGACTAATGCTGGACTAGGGAAACTGCGAGCGCTTTCCCAGTTACCTTCCCGGATCTCCTGCAGATCGTGGAACATAAATTTGTACGGCTTCGTGAGGGCATCTGTGGAGGAGCCGAACAATTTCACGGAGGTCGCTGCACCACCTTTTCCACCCCAGGAGGTCCCCTGCACCGAGCCAAAGGAGGAAACGACCTCCCCACGGTTGCTCCGGGAGCTGTACTTCTGCGATGGGGTAGCACTGGTGGGAGGAAGACCATTTAAGAAAAGAAATCAGGAAAACGCAACCGGCCGCCATGACCATTTTACTGATTGCGATTTTTTTGGTTATTCCTCGTTATTGCCCGTTTTTATTAGCTGTTTTATTAGACTCCTTCCCGTTATCCCCCGGCAAGCTGGCTGAGGTTGATGGGAATCAGTCCACACACCTGGAGGATGCGAGGTTCATGGACAGGTGAATCAAATGGTTTTGACAAAGGCGTACCTGGGGGAGAAGCTGCTTGGGGAGAAAGCCAAGCGGGGGCTGCGGTGGGAGAGCGTCCTCTTGGAGTGCGGGTTTTCTGGAGTGGTTATCGCCCGCTTCTGCGAGCCCTGAAAGACACAGTTCAAGAGACAACAGCTTGGCCTGACTTGGAAAGTGGGCCTGAGAACCGATAACACTTTTTGCAAAATTTACCGTTATTATTAATATTAATTTCATTTCTATACTGCCCCATAGCCAAAGCTTTCTGGGCCATTTACAGCAATTCATGGAACGCAATAAATAAATTTATGTACAAGCGGGAAAAGACGGAACATGCAAAAGAATGCAAATAATGGATTAAAAGCAGGAATCATTAAAACTGGCTCATCTCCAAGGATGGCTTTAGCAGGCACTGAAACCAGCAGAGTTTTGGAAAGCTGCTCTTTCTCTCTTCGGGCTGTTCAGCACTTTCCCCTCATGTTCCTAAGCCAGATCACTACTGCAAGCCTTTCTAACAACACCCAAGATCCAACGTGGGGATCATTAGCAAGCAGAGCATGGATTCTCTCACGGAGCTGTCGACTCTTCCTTAAAATAGAAGGCAAGATACTGGTCCTCATGGTCCTGAATGAAAGAGTCGTATGCACGGGGGATTTTTCCAGTGGCTTTGGGCCACTTACTCTGGAGGGCGACATGTAGTCATTCAGAAGGTCCTCATCCTCCTCACCAAGGTCAAGACTGGCCAGAGTTGAGGCTAAACAAACAAGGAACGCTCAAAAGCAGGGCGATGCAGAGAGAAATCTGCTGAGTGGCTGGAGTGGCCTTCCCGGAGCCCAGAGGTTGTGGGGTCCGACCTTCAGTGGGAAACAGGGAGCCCAAATGCATCCAGAAGATGCCGGATTACAGTCAGCGTCACATGGGAAGTGTGGGTCGAGGAGCCCACACATATATTGAACAGTACATTGCTTAATCCCATTGCTTCCAAGGAACCCAAGCCGGCTTGGATAATCCCCCCCGCCCTCCTCAGTACTTTATCTAAATACACTTTGCATATGCCTAGAGACCTCCCATTCTTGGAGGTTGCTGAGCAGACCCCAGCATTCCAGGTCTGAACCCGGGCTGAAAAGACTCCCCAGAAGAGACCACAGCAGCTTTTCCCAACTTGGCGTCCCGGCAGATGTCCTGAACTACAAACCCCATCATCCTGACCCTAGCCCACAATGGCTGGGATGGGCTGTCATCCCGAATGTTTGCAGGGCACCAGGCTGGGGAATCCTGGGCAATAGCAACAAACGCCAAGACAACACGGGCCATTGCAAAATTAATCACTCCGATTCTGTTCTATCCTATCCTGTCCTAATACATGTATAAATATAAATAAATAAAATAAATATCCGGCTGTTTTCTGTTCATTTTTTCCTTCCACGAGTTGCTCCAAAAAGTGCCTCGGGAAAAGAAGATCGCTTTTAAAACCGTGGCTTGTCCCAGGGCAGCTTTGCCGTGAGCCAAGTTAGCTGGAGCACCGTGAGACTTGCACCACGCACAACTTTAACGGAGGATACAGTTCTTGCGGGGGAATCACGTCCCGGATGCCGGATTGCCGGTTCTCCTTCTTCGGTGGAGGTTTTGACCCTCTTTTATTGAGCACCTGAAAGAAGAGCAAGAGCCCTTTAAAATAAATATATGAATAGCTCCCCCAGGACTGGCACAAGAATACACAAGTTTCAGGGCCAAACAGAAATCCGAACCAATCCATGTCGCAAGAGGGCTGCAGTACAATGGTAGAGCACAGAACCATGAGGACTAGAATCTTGCTTTCCTCTTTTTTGGCCGAAGGGCCACATCTCAGGAACAGAACCACTGCAAGGCGTTCAAAGCTCAGTCCTCAGCGATCCAAACTACGCTGGGTAGGATCACCCACACGAACGCACCCTCCAATTTGTTTACACCCCACCAATGACAAACTTCCGGTCGATTATCCAGTCGAAACACCAAAAGCCTTACTTCATGTTCAAAGATGTGCAGAGACTCGGCCGTAAGGTGGACGGTTCGTTTTTGTGCTGCAAAAGCCACGAGCTCCAACCCAAGGTCCGACCCTGTTACCCGGTGCATGGTACACATTTCGAGCACTGTGGGGTCAAAACAGAGGGTGCCTCTCTCATAAATCAGCAATGCAAACAGCCGGGAACTTCTTCTAGGAGCTGGAACCCCACATGGCCTTCCTGTCATTTCTCTCTTAAAAATCTAAATCAGCACAACATGGCAGTCAAGTTTTCTTAAAAGATTCCTAATTTGCATTGCAGTAAAAAAACATTTGGCAACATTTCCAGTAAAATAAGACAATACGCCCCTTAAACACATTTTATATTTTTAGTGTATTATATTTTAATTGATGTTTTGTGAGCCGCCCCGAGGCTTCGGCGAATGGGGCGGCATAGAAATTTTCTACATACATACATAAATAAATAAATATCAGAGTGGAAGTTTGTTATTGTTTATTGTTAGAAAGCATGTTATTGTCTCGGCATTTCCTAAAAGCTACAATATAAGAAAACGTGTTCCACTGTTTCTATGGTTCATTCTTAAAATATGTCCAGGCTTGGCCATAAAAATCTAGAGCAGGAATTGTGGATGCCAAAACCCATGTGAAATTAAGAGGGAGCCTGTGCCCACTTTGGGAGTGGAAAAGAACTCTGCATATGCTTAGAAACGTATCATTTCCCGTGATTCCTAATGCTCAAAAGAGCTCCTGGGCATGAGAGGACCTACAGTCAACGTGGGATTTTATCCTAGGAAGTGATGGAGATTCCTCATTTACAGTTTCCGCTCTGTCTTCTGTCTAATGGAAAATTATGGAATGAGCAAAGCGGCGATTTAATTCAACCGCTCATCACGTAATAATGAAATTGCTGTTTTGTCCAATGCCAGCAATTTGAAACTCTCCCCGGCCTTCAGTCCCCCACAAGCACCCCCACACCGGTCCCATGGGATGCAACGGGGCTCGCTAGATGCTTTCGCCTACAACTCCCATCAGCCCTTGCAGCAGTGCTCATGCATGCCGAATCATGGGAACTGTAGGCTGGCGGTATTTCACAGTTTTTGCACAGACCACAAAACCGATGCACTCTTTATAAAAACTCGCACACTTCCAAATATCATTTTACACCCATCTCTCTCAACCGGGAGGGGGGGCGCTTGCAGGGAGGTTGAGAATACGATTCCCATCATCCCCAGCAAACTGGGCCATTACCGCTTCTTGCACGCTGCCTACTCCCCCCCTTCATGCATTCTCATAGATTTAACCCCCTTTGACGACTGAACTGCCCCCCATCCGCACGCTCATGAATGGGCACCCCTTGCCGTACATTCTCCCCTTCGATTCCCGGCGCACGTACGTTTGTCGGCGATGGCATCCTCGTCTTCCTCCTTGGCGAAGCTTAGCCCGAAGACCTTGAATTCGGCCAGCACGGCCTCCAAAACCGGCGACCCCATCGCCGCCTCGCTTTTCCCGCCACTGCCAGGCGGAGGAGGAGGGCCGAAAGCACGCGTAGGCGCGGCTACTCGCTGACTTACGGCGCTTCCTTCCACTCCTGCGCCCCGCCCACAAGGGTCCAGGGGGCGGAGCGACGGCTGCGGCGCCAGCCGGTGAAGGGGCGTGCCGGGCTGGAAAGGGGCGTGGCCTCCCTGCGTGACTAGGGAGCAGCATAGCGGCGCCAACTTTTTCCTAGAGAGGCCGCCACTCGTCGGCAGGGTAATCGGAAACCAAGGCGCCAGTCCTCGTTGAGGAAAGGCGCCATCGGTTTCAGAACGACGCGAGCGAGGACAGAACTGATGGAGGTGGCTTTCCTGCCTCCTTATTTTGCGCGGATGAGCCCGTGCAGGAAAGCCGCGTTGGTTCGTGCAGCCAGGAAAGCTTCCTCTGTTAGAGGTCCAGGTCAGCCAGCCGGCACCATTCCAGCCATGCATCGCACTGCGTTACGGCTGCTGTGCTACACAATAAGCTCCATTCACTTCAGTGGGGCGGCTGCTCCCTGGAAGCACATAGGGCTTCCTTGTAAACTGCTGGAAAGTTCCTGATCGCATCCAAATGGCACAGCGCAAGAAGATGCCGGCCCAGGATTTCTGCCCTTCTTTCCTGTCTGTTCTTTTGCTCTTGCAAGTAGGACTTTGCCACCCCTGCAGTGTAGGACAGAACTGAACAAGAGAGTGGAACTGGGTGTCTTGGGATGCGAGGCAGACGCCAGACAGTTTCCTGGGCTAAATTTCTGTGGGTTCCCTGCTTGGAGCCAGCGAACTTCTGTTGTCTTCATTGGGTTCTTTTTCTGGAGGCTCTGAGGGAACAGATGGATGGCTGCCTGTCCGACAGGCTGTGGCCGCATCCTGCTTTTGGAGAGAAAAAACCTCCTTGGAAAGCTGCAGTCCGCACAGTAAAGGATTCTCAGACAGATCCAGTGACCACAAGCCATGGCGACGACAGGCCTGTCACCCCAAGACTCATGCTTTATTTTCGGCGATAAAACAAGTCTGTTCCTACCATACAAAACCGACGCGTAACAGAAATAAAGATCAAACAGTACTACCCAGGTACATCACAAGAGAATAAAATAATCCCTGATATACGGAACCTCCTGGCGAAAACGCGGAAGCAAGTCCCCCCTCACCTCCCGAAGTGGCCACTGAGAGGCTGAAGCAGCAAAAGCACTCTGGAAGCAAGCACCCAACTGCTGCGGTCTTTCGAGCACCGTGTTTCCAAGCCGGCCTTTTTGCAAGAGAGCCGGTCTCTGGCTCAGCCCTTGGAGAAAGGCCAGAGCCGGAAATGCTAAGCATGGAACCAAAACAGACCCGGAGATGCTCACGGAAGCATTCCAGAAGCCTGCACAAACAGAGGAAACGGCTTGGATTTTTGATGGCATTGGCACCTTTGGGGGAGGTAAACAAGATTGCTGATTGTTCCAGGTCGATTTTCAGTGGCCATCAAAATGAGGCGGCCAGGGACAGGAAGGTGCTGGCCCCAGGAATTTCTCGTTCAGTGCCATAAAGGAGCAAATACCAAGAGTTGTGTGTCTTTGACTGCATCAGCACCCAATGGTACATGCCAAATGCTGACAAGGCCAAGCAGAATTATGACAGGGGAGAAAAAGCAAAAAGTCCCCTCAGGCTCTGGAGATTACACGGATATGAGGCCGAAAAGCCAAAAGCTGAAGAGGCTGAGATTGTAGGCACCTGGGTGGGGAAAGGGGACCAAGTGCTTTCTGTGTGGGTGCGTGCGCCTGTGTGCGTGCAGAAAACCTCAGTGCTCCTTTAAGCTGATACGGCTGGAAGGCGGGAAAAGATCCTTGTGGTTCTGAGTTGAGGAGCAATTAGGATTCTTTGGCACTCCATGAAGATGCCAGAAATTCAGCCTGGGATTTTGCATGTGAAGCAGGTGCTGGACCACCTCTCTACAAAGAGAGCAAGATTCTAGTCCTCGTGGTTCTAGAATAATAAGTGTCCAACTCATAATCAGATCTCTAGAGATTCAGATGGGGGCTTTCTCACAGCTACCTGGGGAGGTGAAGGACTGCTCCTGAGCTCACATGCATGCAAAACATACGTGCTAAGGCCACAAAGCTAAGCCCCGTTCTCTCAAAAATGGGAGGGGGAAAAGCAGGGTGCTGAGATACAAGCAGAGTTGAGCAGAGCTGCTGAAATACATACCCTGCTCTAAGTGCCAGGCCTTGAATAACTGGCACTCTGTGGCGTGTTTGCCGAAATCCAAATATAAACAGAGACCGAAATGCGTACAGCAGAAGGAGTAACTCTTGGCACTGATATAAATGTTTAGTCCTGAGCAGGAGGGATTTTGCCAGCCAAAAGCAACACCTCGGCGTTGTCCCCGCAAGCCCGAGAGGCAGTGAAAGTGCGCTGTGGTGCTTTCCCACCCTGCCCCACCATGTGGCCAGACGGCTGCTTTCATAGTTGGGGCGTTTAGAGCAATACGGTTGGGAATGAAACACCCCTCTTGGCAAACACACGTCTGGAAGTGCGCCCCAATTCATTGCACATTCATGTGGCAACTCGGCGCTTCTTTGGCAATGCTCTTCTCTCTCCCCGCACGCACCTTCAGAGGGGGGCTAGCCATGTCAGGCCAGCCCCTCCCACGGGCCGTGGGGTATCCCCCAAAACTCTTTTCACCCCCAAAGTGGCTGCATTAGTGCTATAGCGCTACAGAGACTGAGACAGTTTTGAAGCCACTTTTTGGTTAACCCCCCCTTTTTCCTTAGTGGGGGTGCTGACGGGTTTCCCAAGCTGCCCACCCCAGCTTCAGTCCACGAAAAGTGGGGCCAGAGGCCCCTCCATGGCGATGCGAGCAAAACGGCGAAAGGAAAGCGAAGCACGAAGCCCAGGAAAGATTGTCTGGCAGAGTCCCGAGTCTTCCCAGCAGGCTCCGCCTGCCCAGGACTGTACCACAGAACGGTCTGTCCTGCCGGCACCCGGATCCACTCCGCTTCTGAGAGGAGCCCACCATCGGAGTGGCAAGGCCTGCCGCGTGCCTTCAGCACGTGCCGTGGGGGTCGTCTTTTGGCAGAGCCGGCTACAGAGTCTTATCGAAAGCAAGACGTGGCTGCGGGCATCTGAAAAAAGGCTTCCAGGTGACCAGGCACGACGGCGGGAGTGCAGAGAGACCGCCCGGCACGCGAGGCCCGGGCGGGAGCTGGCGTGGGGTGGCGTGCGAGCACACAGGGGCACGCACGCGCGAGTGCGTTCCCCGGTCTGGAGTGGAAGCTGCGCAGATGCAAGGCACTTGCAGGTGATTTGGGAAGAGGAAGTCCCAGTGGCCGCGCGGGGCTCGGCTCCGTATTCGCTTCAGGCAAACATGGTGAGCTGTATCCACTGCAGGGGAGGAAGAGAGACAGGCATCACAAGGATAGGTATTCATCGCACGGAAGGAGGGATTCCATCACCCAGAAGTGAACGGGGACCTCCTGGAACGAGCCCGTGGGACCAAAGAACCCTTTCAAAGCCCGACAACCAATCCCTCAGTAACTCAAGAGTGCGGAGCCATTCTCAGCCCCAGAGCCAAATTCTATTTCGGGGACACTCTCGGGGGCCACGGTCCGGTGGTGGGCGGGCTCAGGGCAAAGGGGCGGGGCCAAAATGCCAGCCTCGGGAAGTCTGTAGTCCATCCACTGTATCTCTTCTTTGACACAGGTAGTTTTGTTGCCTCGTAAGCATCCTCAAATTTGAAGTGAGGTGCCTTGGCTTGGACCAAGCTCCTGGGCTTGCATTTTATTTATTTAAAGTTTTTCTATGCTGTTTTTGTCCCAATGGCTTACAAAAAACAACAAAACTAAAACCGAATCCTTCGGCGACCCAGCACAGTTTTAATGTTGACCCACCCAGGTCCCTGAATGTCTGAGAGTCGGCATCAAAGCACACCGATTTGATGAATGCAAAGGCCTTACCTTCACCAAGTCGAAGATGATGATTCCGTCTTTGTCTGTGTCCAGTGCCTGGAAGAACCCTGAGAAAAGAAGAAAGAGGAGGGGAAGGAATGAAACGATACGGGAAAACTGCTTTGCAAACTTTAGGGGGGCTGAGAAGCAGGCGGGAACAGGCCGATTTCCCCAACACGGGTGCCTTCGAGCTGCGTCCCTCCCCGGGGAGATGGAAAGACACTCACGGAACATGGTCTCCAGGCGCACCAAGCAGCAGACAAAATTGTCGAAATCGATGGCCAGGTCGGGTTCAGCGTAGCGCGTGATGATCAGCTCGTACAGTTTCTTGTTCAGCTTGAACCCTGCCAAGATGCAAAGAGCCCAGGTGTTTCTCCACAATTCTTCCTACGTTCCGTTTTGGATTAAACTTCCCCCTTAAGCAATGATCAGATGGGTTCCTAAAGCCCTTTCACACCAACAACTGGGCAGGATCTGAGCTATATGCTGGGTTCCTTGATTTGGAAAGGAGGATGGTTGCTTGGTTGGTCTGAATTCCACACAGAGGACTAGTTTGATGGAAAGGCAGCCTAGGAGTGGGAATTTAATTTTACCTGCAGCCTCCAGGGCCATCCGCATCTCGTAGGCACTCATGGTTCCTGACTTGTCTAAGTCAAACTTCCTAAAGATAGCCTGCAAAGATAAAAGATATGAGATACTCAGACAAGAAGTTTACAGGAATCAGGCACTGTCCAATTCCATAAACTGATGGGAGGAAAGCTTACCAGATAATTTCTAATCCTGTTCCAAAGGATGTTGAATTCCACCAATCCCAGCTTCCCATTTCCATCTCTCTGATCACAAAGGGCTGTTAAGGAACCTTCCTGGAGTGTCTACAAATACACCTTCCGGCATTATCCCAGCTCCTCTTTGACCTCCTCCTCCTCAAACTCTCTCAACAGAATCGAAAAACCTACAACTTGCTTGATGAGCCCCAAAAGAAGACCCAGTAACTCCATGATGTTCCTAAGCCAGGATGTAAGCAGGTATCACACACCTGGCTTCTCTCCCCATCCTCCATAAGAGAAATAATAAACTGAGATTCAGTGCTTAGTTTCTTAGGATGTGTGAACCAGGAATCATGGTGAAGTGCTTCAAAACAAGCCAGGATTCATTAAGCCAACTTTAAACCCAGCATTCAAAGTCGGCTTCCAATCCCAGCTTGGAAGTACTGAACATCCAGCTGCATGTCATGAAAAGCAAACTTGGGTGACATTCCCAGCTGTTACTGTCATTCACCCAGAGGGGGAAACAAAGCTAAGAAAAGGGGATACATATACATCTCGGTTGATTAAGCCAGGAGTTTTGGCTCACTGTGATAGGCAAATCATTCAGATGGAAGGTCAACCAAGGCATGGCCAGATGTTTTGGACAACCTGTGACCACTGCTAATGCTGGCTGGGGCTTATGGGGCTTGAAGTCCAAAATATTGGGAAGGCATCAAGGTTGCCTTAACCCTGCTGCAGAAACAAAGCAAGCCCTTGGGGAGGATCAGCCTTGGCTGGAGGATCACCGGCGTTCTAGATCACAGCTATTCCCATGAGGCTGAGGTCTGCCCATCCTTGTGAGGACACATTTCAGATTCTCAGGAAATTCTCAGGAAATGCCATTGCCATTTCTGTCTTCTTCCACCCGCTGCCCCTTCCCCCGCTCAGTCCCTTTTCCTTTGCTTGCACATCTTCTGGGTTGTCAATCTTGGTAAGCCATTTTTGGCAGAAAGCCTTTTTAAAAAACCAGATGAATGACTGAACGAATAAAATGAGGGCACCGTGCCGAGGCCCACAGCAGCAGGATACGTCCATGAGGTTCACCATGCTCCGGCAGGATTCCAGGCTGAACCCTTTTGTACGAAGGTCTTTATCTGCAGTTGACAGTGGGGTGGAGCGCAGGGGGAGAAAAAGGACAGTTTCGAGTTTTCTTTCCTCTGCCATGAGGCAGCCCCACGCAGAGGATGCGGTCATCTTGCAGCAAAGTGGGGAAGGAACCAACCACTGGATCCAGGCACCACCGCCGACCCATGACCCATGCGCTAACTTTACCATTGCTATTTTAAGACACAAAGCCATGGGGTGGGGGGGGGGACTTTTGCTCGGGACTTACGTTTCCCAACAATCCTGTTGAGGATGGTCTGCAGTTCACGGACGCTGATTTCCATATCCTGGAAGGAAAACAGCATTTTTCTTTTATCGGTTTGTAAAGTCAAGGCAACATTTTAAAAATGTGCAGTTCTGAGCTGCGCTACCAGGTGAATGCCGGGCAGCCCTGGGCTAGGAAACCGAGATCATCTGGATCAGCCCTTCTCACCTGCTCAGGGCAGTTAAGTCGAAGAGGGCAAGGGAGAAGTGCCTTTTCAGTGGTTTAAGCTTCCACTGGTCTTCAGGAAGGTTCTGAAGACATGCCTGTTTTCACTTGCCTCCCCATAATCTGGGGCAGCAGGCTTGGTTGCGGTTATTGCAGCCCGAATGACTCCGGCTCGGAAGATTGGCGAGGGCAAGATCGAGATGTACAACATGCTGGCAGCCCTCCAAATGCCAGCACTCTTTCGAAGGGCCCCCTGAAAATCTCTGGCTCATGCTTACCGCTCCAGCCAGCTGCCTAAAGAGCTGTTTGAAGTTCTCGTCGATCTCTCCTTCGGAAAGCACTTTCTGCAGAGGGGGAAAAGGAGAACAGGCGTGAAACAAAGAAGTCCCCCTGTGGAAACCATGACCCGAGTCCTTTCAGTTTGCCTCTGCAGAAGGACGGGCTGATGGAAGACCTCTCCCACAAACCGCTGCTTCGGTGAATTTCGTTTTTTGGCATGACGGGGCTGTTCGGACAACATGCGGGAAGGTTCATGGTGCGGCAGGCCTGCAGACACTTTTCCCGGCCTGCCTGAAACAGCAGCTGCGCTTTTCTCTTGCTAAAAAAGAGAAGAAGCTTGACCACCATCCCCTTGGTCCACCCACCCTCTTAATGCCCGTCAGGATTGCCCTCCGATTGTGGGAGGGACATTTGAACGGCCCCAGTAATAGGATGGAAGATGGGGCTCAGCTCTAGCAGCAGATTGCGGGACCCTTGAACATGTGATCTGGCGGGAAGTGAGGGAAAGATTGTTCCTCTCCAATCGTAGATACTAAAATGCAAATGTGGATTTCCTCAAGCAAGCCTTGCCCTTCCCGGCAGGCGTTCCACCAGAGGGTTCCTACCTCATCGGGTAGATTTGCTTGGATTTGATCATCCATCTCTCTGCAGAAGAATAAAAGGACAAGAAAACTCTCTCAGGGGATGCACAAAGAAACCCAGCACTATTCAGAGAAGCTGGAACACAGAGGCAGCCGTTTAAAACCAGAGGGAGGAGAGGGGAATAGAAAAAGAGGCACCCATAATAGGATTTTAGCCCACCAGTGGCCTGGTTCAAACAGAAAACTAACCCCCAATATGGGCTACTGAATTCTAGGAAGCATTGATGTGAATGTAGCCACGCTAACAAACCATGGATTGTTTCGCATAAAGATCCCAGAACGAGAATGCGCGGTGACTGCATTCTGATGAGGGAATAAAAATCGGTGTCTTACATGGTCCCAGCTTTGTTCTCCGCGAAGACCCGGAGCACGAAGTCCCCCTCCTTGTTCGGCTCGAAGGTGGACGGCACGACGATGTACTCCCCGGGGGGCAGCTTGAAGCGGGTACTGACCTCGCGCAGGTTGATGAACTGCTCCGACCGGGCGCGCGAGGAGTTGGACAGGAAGAAGTCGCGCTTCAGGTGGACCGAGGGCTGCCCCACATACTGCCGGGGAGAAGGTGGTATGGGGTGAGGACAGATTCCGTAGCCTGTGGGTCCCCCTCCCTCTGCTTTTGCTGTGGGTTGCTCTTGTTGCATTCACAAATTAAATACATCACCATGAGGACTAGAAACTTGGCTTAGTTTTACAGGAAGGACCACAGCTCAGGCAACAAGTAGGTGTGATTTATATCGCTGCCTCCTTTCCGAGGAGGACTGGGAAAGAATTCATCCGGAAGGGCGGCTGCCGGTCAGTGCAGGCAATACTGAAGGAGATTCCACCACAGATGGTCTTGGCACGGGGCAGCTCTGGCTGTCCCAAGACCACGGAGGCATCCCTTACTTTCCGGAGTCGCCTTCTGGATACCTACCTCAGGCGGCACCTGGAGAAGGACACAAAGAGGAGGAAAGGGGCCATGAGCCCAGAAACCCATGGGACCGGACGGTGCCAGGCCCAAACCAAGAGGGTCTCCATCCCCGCGGGCGTCACCTCGTAGACGGCAAAGCCGATGGTCTCCATGTCCTTGCCGAACCGCCTCTCCCGGCGCCGGTGCTTCTGCATCAGGGCCAGAAGGAAGCTGCAGCCCGCTTCCCTTCCACCGTCCTCATCGTCATGGTCCACTTCCTCCAGGCGGATTTTGAACTGGGGGTTAATCCAGAAGGTCGCTGGACAAGGAGAAGAGACATGATTATTATTAGCAGAAAAGTCACGCTGCATCTGCAGCCCTCTTCTTTCCCTCCGGCGAGGAACCCAGGGCAGCTTCCGGAGCCCTATTCTTTTTTTAAGCATTTCTTATTTTCCTAACATACACAATTACACAGAAAAAGAATACAGAACGAAGGGAAAACTACCAAGCAAAACTGACTGAAGTAAAACACGCAAAGTTGCCAAGGGAATTACAAGCGCACGGCCCATAGGCTGCAACCCCAAGAACCAGCTCCTGTCATATCTTCTCACGCCCGATGGCTTATTCTGTCCTCGTAACAACAACCCTGCAAGGCAGGTCGGGCTGAGCGGGAACGATCGGGCCGAAGGCACCCAGCGGGACTAGAACCTGCATCTCCCAGGTCCCCAGCCCGGCTCGCCCACACCCCACCACACCAGCTCAGGAATGACGGCCCTGCCCTTGCCCAGCGGGAGAGCCGCGCCCCGCCGCCCCGGGCACCTGGATAATTCCTGCAGCCGCCGGCCGTGCTGCCTCGCCTCCAGGTCCCATCGTACAGCATGGAGTTCCACTTCCGGAACTTGCGCGACTTCAGCGCGTCGGGCGTGAGGTTGCAGATCTCGAGCCGGCTGAACTCCCGGAGGAAATCTCGGAAGGACATCCTGCAAGGGGACGAGAATCCACCCTCGTTTGCTTCCTTCCTCGGGGATTAAAAGCACCACCCCCGAGCGCATCCGGAGGGGCCCCTACCAAAATTCTCCGTCTTCCATTTTCACCCTCAGCTGCTGCCCCACGGACGGTTCCACCGCGTGCCACTCCCTGGAGCTGCGGAGGAAAAGCGAAGGCCGTTAAAATGAGACAGGAAAGGAAGATATGCTCAGCCGCGTCAAGTCAGCGTTTTAGTTAAAGTTAGATTAGCGACTGCAGAATTGGCACGAGTTTTTTTGCTGCCGAAAGGAAATTCTGTCCGCCTCCTGTTCCATGCATAATTTTTAATGCAACTTTTATACCGCCCAAAAGCTGAAGCTCTGTCTGGGCAGTTGACACAACTATCATCCAAACACAATCCGAAATACGCCACAGGCTTTTTCGCTCTTGCCCTGCGGACAACTGTGCCCTTAAAGTGACAAGCTTCCCTCTTCCCCCTGGCATGGCATGACTCTGCGTACCAACTGCAGGACACGCGATGCCGCTTTCTCACACCCCTAGATCCTGGATCGCTTTGCCACCCGTGGCAAAGAAGACGCAGAGAAGCCACCAAGTGCCGCTGTGGTGCAAGAGAAGGAGCAGCTCACCGAAGGGCCCGGTGCTCAAATCCCACTTCAGCCGCAAAAGTGACCCGGTGATCTGTAGCCAAATGCAGTCTCTCTAGCCTACCTCACAGGGTTGTTGTGGCAAACAGCAGAGAAGCCAAGTTTTGCATTTCTGAGCTTTTGGTGCAAGTGTGGACTGGATGGATAAAGAGAGATGCCCCTCTAGGACACAGGAAGACCGGAAGCGAACCCCAGCTGTCATGAACCCACATGGGCACTGTAGTCATCTGCTTCTGTATTATATTCATGGCACACCTTTCTTCCGCTTGCAGAAGAACCTAGCGTCTTCCTTTCCATTCTATCCGCACAACAACCACCCTGTGAGGTAGGCTTGGCTGAGAGTCAGCGACTGGCCTGAAGTCACCCGGTGAGCTTCATGGCCAAACAGGGACTCACACCTGGAGGGCTCACTCCCACACTAATCACTAGGCCTTACGGTCTAAATGAAACACACAGCTTGACCTGCTGACTTTCCGCCTCCCGCCGGCCCTTCTGCAACGGGCATGCAAAACTCTTCTAGGGGTTGCTGCTTACTTGTCACTCCAAGGGCCGGTCCATTCCACCTCTCCCCAGGGATTTCGGATCCGTACCAGCTGAACTCTCTGCCCACGGTAGTTGATCTGTGGGGGAAGGAGAGGTGAGAAGGGAGGTCTTCCCTTCCCTCTCTTCCTCGCCACCCTTCTGACCTTCCACCCCCTTCCCTCCCTCTTCCACAAAACCCTTTAGGGATGACCTTCATTCCCTTTGTCCACATCGGGGTCCCTGTTTTCTCCCCGCTTCTGCTCACAGCCCCCTTTTCTTAGCGGTTAACGCTTTGCGACGCCTTCAACACAGGACCCCGGAATTCCCGACCTGAATTCACGTTGCCTCTTTCAGAGGTGCTTCTAGCTCTCCAGATAAAAGCAAGCAAGCAACCCACATTGCATGAGGCAAACATAAAAGGGCAGAGGAGCAGGCACTCACCTGCTCAGCTCCAGTGACTGAATAGGCATGGCCCTTCACCAGCTTCTTAAACGTGACCGCCTCCATGTCGAAAGCACTCGTGATCTGGGGTTGGGTCAGGAGGGAAGCAAAGCAAGAGAATCTAAGTTCTAGCTTCACAAGGTCCGTAAGAACATGAGGTCTACAAATTAAAACGAATATTTCTGCAGGAGATAGTTCATTCCATAGCATATGCTTATGAATGTACAATTTTGCCCAATAGCACAAAGTCCACAAAGAAAGTTACAGTTCGGAAAAAAATGTAAAGCCCTATAGGTAACTTTCAACACATATCCTACATAAACTATATATCTGAAGTATTTCTATGCCATATCAGCTTTGCCTAACGGCTTTCAGGACGGTTTACAATTTAAACCGGGACCGTTGAGCTGAATCATTGCTAAGGAAAATGCCAGTAAAACTTAGGTTGGGTTTTGCTCCCGGGAATGAATGGGATTAGAATAGGTAAGATTGGGTACGTCTCAGAAGGCACCAAAGGGAGTCTGGAGCCAGCGTGTTACTGCCATACTCACATCAATGGAACACCCCATGAGGGAGCCTCTTTCCAGGGCCTTCAGGATGATCTGGAAGAGGTCGTTGGGGGCTTTCCGAAGGTCGTACCACTCCGTGACCCCTCCGGTAAAGTCTTCAAACCCTTCCGATGTACTTCCACCAGAGAGAGCCTCGTAGCAGCCGTTCACCCTACGGCAAGAAGAAGTACTCTGTCGGTTGCCTCCTCCCCTGTGCGCTTGCGCCCACGAAGGTTGGCTAGTTTATGCCCATTTCACAGATGGGGAAAATGAAGCTGGAAAAATAGAGACTAGGCAAAGGTTATGGAAATGGTCCTGGGAAGGGGTGGCACAAAGCGAGCCTTAAAGCCAAGCACAACTGTTTGAACAACCGTGTCCCCCACCTGAGAGAAGAGGCGCTTACTTGGCATAGGCCTTCTCAAGCAAGGCGCTCCAGAACTCGTTGCCTTCCGCAGAATGCACGAACACCAGCTTGCCATCTTTGGTCGGGAGTAAGTCGTCCACCACCACGTCCACCCACTCGCCGAACTGCCAGATCTGTGTGAGAAGAGGGAAGAAGTGGAAAGGGGGAGTTCGGCCCAGTGAAAACATCACACAATTCGGATTAACTTGGATCTGTCGCCTTAAACCTGGTTAGGATCTGAAATGTGCAGGCAAACCAGATTGCAGCTTGCCGAGTTAATCCCAGGTTCAGCTCACCAAACCATGATTTTGGATATCTAGGTTTGCAGCCGGTTCTTATGCGTGTGTTAATTCGGGGTGCGGCACCTCAGTTCGGGGTGCCAGATCTGGCTGGCTGCCTAAAGGCCCTTCTCCTGGCCACACCCCCAACCGCCGTGCATTTGTGGGTTCCCAATTCTTGTATTAATAGAAATATTATTACGACTTTGCATTTCTACCCGTTTCCTCCTCTTCCATGGCAGTTTACAAAGTTCTCCTCCACTCCACTGTTATCCTCACAACAACAGCCCTGTAAGGTAGGTTGGACCAAGAGGGGATACCCGGCCCAAAGTCAGCCCATGAGCTTCAGGCTGCGTGGGGACTCGAACCCGGGTCCCCCAGGTCCCCAGTCTAGCAGTGGAACCGCTGCATCACACCCAACTCATCAAAAGTTCCTCCCCACCGTACCAGCCTTCGCGAAGGCTTAATCACTGGCTGGGGACGATGGGAGTCTGCACATCAGGAGGGGGCGAGGCTGTGCTCTGAATGGGAGGGGCACAGCAATTCTCTTTCCGCTGAGCACCAGCCTGCCATGAAGAACCAGGCTGGATCCCAGTCCAGGTTGGAGTCCCAGGCATGGCGGACTGAAATAACCAGCAGGGCTTCCCCCACGGGCAGGAGACCAAGCGGAGGGTTGTGTGCGGGGCAGGACGGCGAGAAAGAGGCTCTATTCCTGTCTCCCACTTGTAGTTTATTTTTATTTAAAAGTTTCTTAGGCACCGATTTCAAGTCGTTGTACCTTGTTTTCTTCTATTTGTAGCTTTTAATGTTAACTTTCCACGTTTAGAGATTTAAAAATGTTATGTTGTTTCAATTGCTTGTGAGCCACTCAGAGAGCCCAGTTGAAGGCTGATATGGTGGAATATACATTGAAATAATAAATATTAATTAAATTAATAAAACACTCTGGTCCATAAGATGTATCCAAACCTCTGAGTTCAGAGGCTTCCATGCAAAGGGTGAGGGACATACTATTGGGCCCTAAATAAATAAGGATAATAGTAACCATGATCAAACAAACAAACAAACAAACTCTGAGCTAAACCTGGTGACCTTCTCCCTCCAAGGCACAGAGCTTGAATTCTTGCCAGTGGCTCACTTGAGAAGGTTATGTGCAGCCGAGCATCTTCGCCTTTCGTCGTGTGACAAGTGAGGATTTTAGGGTCGGGCGCCAGGGTGTCCGAGTGCCCCAAGGCTTCTCTGAATCCTTATTCCCGGGTTCCTCGGAGGTTCTTCGCATGGCTGAATCCCCCTTTCTCCAGCCACTGATATTTTGGGTTTCAGCCACCCCTTTCCCCTCTTCGAAAGGTTGATGCGCCTCTCCCAGATGGGTTGCACCGCGCCCCCTTGGCTCTCCCACCCCCCGTATGCAGCCCCCGAGATGTTTTCAGGAAAGGATTTTGGCCCTTGGGGTGAGAAAGCTTCAGCACCCCCGCTCCGGCCCGTGGTTATGCGAGACACATTCGGAGCAGCACCGGGATGAAGGCTAACCCAGCGAGGCTCACCTGGAAGTGGAAGATCCCGGCGTACCCGTTCTGGAAGCTCTGGCCGTGGGGGACCACCCGGTGCAGGAGGGGATCATTCAGCGTGAGGGAGGCGATGGCGGCCAGGAGCCAGCAATCCCCTGGGGGGACACGCAAGCAGAAAGTCAGGTCCGGACTTGTTGCCAGGATTCCCAATCACTGAGCAAAGTCTGCTCTTGAATCCGACTCCCGCCCAGATCTTCCCCTTGTGAGCTTTTTGAAAGAGACCGAGTGCAGGCCTTCTCCTGACCCCACCGGCCACAACTGCCCTTGGGGGAGACTCCTGTGCAAATGCGCAGCGGCAAATTTATGGAAAGTGGCGCATTATGTAGTCTAACTGTATCGTCCACATGCCTTCCAATAGCCTCTCCAGCCGGTTGCACTGCACCTCCCATAATCCCTGACCACTGTTGGCTGGGGATGGTAGGCATTGTAATACAGCCTGTGCGTGTGGTACGTAGATTTCAGAAGGCTGTCCTGCTCTAACGAAACATATACATCAATAACATTGAGTATCAAGTCTACATCACATAGATTCCCTACATTTTCTAACGATGATTTCCATATTTTCTGCCCCCATCAGCTCCTTCTTGCATTTTCCTCTCTATTTTTATTATGCTATTTTATTCCTCTCTATTTTTATTCGTCATCCAATTCTGGACTACACTTCAGGTTTTTTTCTTTCTTTTTCTTGAGTTTGCAAACCACCCGTCCTACCAATCCCGGGGGGGGGGGGGGTTAAAAACCATTAAATGATTTGAAGAGGCAGAAGCCCCCAAATCCATTAAAAACTTCTAAGAGAAGAGAATATTCTGAACAAGCGTGGAAGGATCACAACTACTCTGGATCCCATTTCAGGCCCTCTGTTCAAAGGAGACACGCCAGCTGCAGACCTTCCCGGCACACGGATGACGCGTGTAGCCAATCTCTAAGCTTCTGGGTGCATTGGATGCACCCCGACACTGAGCGTGCCCCAAACCTCTGCATGGGGCACTTGTTTCTCCAGAAGCTGGACTTCAGATCCCAGCAACCCCAGGCACCATGGCCATGCTGGCTGGGGAGAAAGAGAGCTGGGGAGGCACCTGCACATGGAATTCTTAGGCCCAAATGGAGGAAAGGTTTTACTCTGCCCAGGGCAAGTGAATGAAGGGGCAGATCCAAAATTAAGGAAGGAAGGAAGGAAGGAAGGAAGGAAGGAAGGAAGGAAGGAAGGAAGGAAGGAAGGGGGGGGGAGAGAGAGAGAGAGAGAGAGAGAGAGAGAGAGGGAGGGAGGGAGGCAGGCAGGCAGGCAGGCAGGCAGGCAGGCAGGCAGGCAGGCAGGCAGCAAGCAGAGTTCCAGTTTCACAGGCATATGCAAAGAATTTCATCCTTGGACTCAAAGCTTTCTGGGAAATACCAACTGTTTAGGAACTGGCAACGCCAACCTTCTGCCACGGGGAGGGACCATACGCAGCCTGTGCTTGCTAGACTCTCAGCAGATAATCGATGCATGGAAGGGAAAATAGTATGAGAGGGAGAGAGAGGGAAAGGGTGTGTTCGCCTCAGCGGCAAGGGAGCTTCCTGCTTCAAGCGCCGCCGGCCACCGCAGCCCGTGCCAAAGGTCTGAAACAGCCGAGCAAAGCGCCGGCAGAGGAGCCAGAGAAAGCCTCGTCACGTGTGCTGGGAGACGCCGCCAACGCTCCACAGCTGCCGTTGCATGACACTCGCACAGACCCCGGCGTGCCACCCCGAGGAGGCTCTCGGGGTTTCCTCCGCACAGAACAAAGGGGGCTTTGCTGCAGGGCTTGCCCGTACCAGCTGCTTTCTTCCGGGAGAGTTCTGACTAGCACCGGCTGGGCGTTTGCCTGCGGCCGCTCGCGCCTGCCTGCCTCTCCCCAAGCTCACAGAGGAGGCTGCCGTTCCTTTTCTGCAGGGTGCACCCATGGCCAGATCTGAGCACCTGTCTCCCTGTCACCAGCCCCCGGAAAGGAGTGGCTGGAAATCAGTCCCCGTTCCCTCCAAGCTCAGATCTGGACCCTCCTAAGGCCGCTGGGCCCAAGGCAAGTGACGCTGCCTTCCTCCATGGCACCGTTACAACAACCCTGTGAGGTAGGACAGGCTGGGAGTCCACGAGCGGCTCAAATTCGCCTGGTGAGCCTTGTGGCCAGGAGGGGACTTGAACCCGGGCCTAGACCCCTCCGCCTCCATGCCTCTCAAGACCCCGAGCGTGGCTTCTCCGGCCAGCAACCTCACAACGTGGACTCAGCCAGAACACCCTTACCCAGAGCTCCTTGGCAGACGTCTGTCCGTGTGGCCCCGTCTATGATGAAGCATGGGTTGCGGCACATATCCTGAAACACACAACAGAACCGGGTGCATTATTCAACTCACAATTCTCGCACCACCGCAAAGGCCACACAGAAGGGGCATCGCTCTGCCGGGGTTCAAGGAGGTGGGCCCCTGGGGGACTTGGTGCAGACGTGGGGTGTGACAGCTTCCAATGTTCCTGTTTAGAGCGACTGTTTATGTACAATCATGAGGACCAGAAGCTTAGATTATTTAAGGGGGAAAGACTGGGCAGGAACCTCCTTGCTGGGAGGGCTTCTATTGAGGATTTTGCATGTGAAAAGGCTGCCTGGAGGAAAGAGGATGGAAATCATAGGCTAGGGTGTCGGAAGCTCAGGTTGGGGCCAGATTTCGGGGATGCAGGCTGCGGTAGGAGGGGCCGAAGCGAAAGGGGCAGGGCTGAAGCCCCAGCTTGATTTCAGCTGAATGTCCTTGCTGCCGCTAGCTGAGGTTTAAGATAAACATCTCAACCTTTTGGAAGGGGGAAAGTTGGAGCAAAGTCCCCCCTGGGGAACCTCAGAGCTGCACTGGGGGCCCAGGTGGGCTGAATTCAGCCCCGGAACCTGGGCAGCATCACCTAGTGGTTTGCAGATGCCTCGGGGCCCAACCGATTGGGGAAGGCTGGGCATTTTTCATGGGAAGCCCCCCGCCCCGAGGTAGACACGGGACACCAAGCAGTGATTCCGGGTTTCTGGAACCTTACCGTAGGCCGTTTCCACTGCACTCCGTAGGTTTTGGAGGAATTCGGCCCCAGTTCTTTGAAGCCAAGGGAGGAGGCCGTGGGAGGGAAACTTTCGTCCCTGAATAGGCTTCCGTTCTGCAAGCATTGATTTCGAAGTCTCTCGAAGTCCTGGCCCAAGTACTTCACCGCATTCTCATGTTTTCCCAAGCCCAGGTCTTTTGCCCGCTGCTTCTGGACCTGTGCCGAGACCCCGGTGCAATACACCGGCACAATGACCTCTTCCGACATTTCCCGATTATCAAACGGGGCGACTGCTTGCTGGAAATGACAACAGCACATTAAACCAGAGAGATTTTAAAAGAGGATCTTGTTCAGCATAATATGGTGAAAGTTAAGTTTAAAAAATTGGAACACGGCGCAGCATCAGTAGAAGCAGCCCCTTCATCTAATTCCCTCCTGACTCATAAAAACTTTCATGTTTCTAGCCCTCATGGCTACTGGGAAGGAAACTATTCCAGGAGACATTGCGTGTGCGGATGTGCAAGTCCTGAAAACAGGCATTTAGAGCTGTTTTGAGCCTGTGGGACGAATTCTGTTTCAGAGAAGCACTGGGGGGGCTACCTTCCAGGAGGGGGCGTGGCTGAAGCAAAGGGGGCGGGGCCAACTCCTCAACCTCCCCCCTGGATTTTAGCTTCTTGCTAAATAAGGCTTGCTTCAGGAGGCAGGTCCACCTTTCAGGATAGGAGGAAGACTGCAAAAACGCTGTGGAGTCGCTCTTTGAGGAATCCCTGTTGCCAAATTTCGTTCCCGGATTGCGTTTCTGTACCCCCACTGCCAAAGTTAGCAGGGCTCCAGAGCAAAGTACCTCTAGAGAAGGGGTTGGATTTTAATATCTTTCCTCCTGAAGGAAAATGATCACTTCCAAAGGTTCTTCCGAATGCTTTCGCTGGGCTCGAAGGAGCCAGCTTGAGCGTGAGCTGGAGTTTAATGTCCGGCACCTCTGTTTATTTAAATCTGTACTCTTTCCATACTGCTAAATATTAAGAAAATCCCTGTGCCGTCTCCACATGTAAATCACAATCTTAAAACCAATGTAATAATAGCAACAATAATACAGAGCAGTGCTGGAGCAATAAATAGGACAGTTAACATGGAGCTGGGAAAGAGGCCGGCTGAAAACCTGGCAGAGCTCGGACGCAAGCACAGTTAGGCCGCCACTCCTGAACGCAGAGACCTTTACATGTCCTCTCCTGGTCAGAATCCAGTCATCTGGAAATGAGTGGATACTGCAGGAATGCAGAAAAACAGATGCAGATGGAGCCCTTGGGCCGAGAAATGAATGTCCTGAGATCCTTTGCTGTCTTCCTTTGAAATAATAAAACGACCCGTGAGCTGCTTTCGCCAGTACAGCTATGTGGTGCGCTGGGACATTTCAAGAGCTGGGAAAGGGGAGCGGAGAGAGCACCGGGCTTCAGAGTCGCACAGAAAAGAGAACTCGGGCAAGACAGCGGGATCGGCCGTCGGATATTGGCTTGGCCCCTGCAGGCTGTGGAATCCCGCCTCTTGAGAAGCAGATTTTGGATTGCACAGGGGCTGAAAGGGGCATGCCTGGAGTACAGAAAAGCCCTTGCCGCTTGCTCTCCTTGCAGCATGCCGTGAGTTAGACGCTTGGCATTCCAGAGTTCAGCTGTCAGAAGCCCAATACGTATCTGCCGAGCAGTCCCCACCCCAGTCAGCCACCCCTCCTGAATCCATCCCAGCACAGATCGGTTTCCCATGAACCGTTTCGTCTAGTTGTTCATTTTTAAATAGACATGTTGAGACTTATGCACACACACACAGACACACACACACCAGATGTGTGATGGCAAGTTGTGCATGCTGGGGAGGGGCAAGGATGGAATGCACTCTGTGCATGTCCAGAGCACTCTCCTCTCAAGCACTGGCTTGTGTGTTGCAGCACCAGCCCAGGGCATGGGGAGACATCAAGGCCAACCCCGTCTTTGGGAAGAGCAAGGCTACAAGTAACAGATCCGAGGCATCGTTAAAGAGGAAGAAATGAGCCTTTTTGCAAAAACATTCCTTACAAGGTTAAGTCTCTAGTCCTTAAGGTTACTGGTGGGGGGCGGGAGTTCAGAGAACAATGGCCACACTCCCTGACATTTCCCAAATGACTATAAATTCCTATTTTTTTACTCCTTGCATGCAGGGGAGCGGGGGGGGGGGGGGGGGAAGGGCCCAAACTGGAATTTTCACATTTAGGGGGCTAAGCATTTCGGGCTCTCCCCAGAAAACAATGTGCTGGGACTCAGCTCAGGTCTTTCACACCTGGAAAGGGCGGCGTGCACACACACGCACACCCACCAAGTGTGTGTGTAGGGGTGGGGGCAGAAGTCTGGTATACTGAAAAAGGGATCAGGGAGACTATTTCAGCAGCGCCAATCCAAGGGCCGAGTGCAAAATGCACAACTGGATTGCAAAGCCTTTGCTTGCGCTCAACTTCTTTTAGCCCGAGGCCAAGCTCAATTTCGGAGGAGCCGGTGGGTGTGCATTCCAGGGAGGGGTGTGGAGTGAAGGCGAAGGGGGCGTGGGCAAGAAGACAAACACTTCTGCACCTTAAAGCTCTTTTGGAGCATGACTAAGCCCTGGGAGAAGTTCCCAGCTCCCTGGGACATCGCACCAAAGCCAGGAGACCACCAAAGGACCAAGCAGCCGGGGCGAAGGGACCGGGATGAAAAGAAGCATGGCCATCCAAGCTCAGATTTATTCCCTGGACTGGAGGTTCCCCACCCTGATCTATGCCAGGTACCTCTGCTACAACATCCCTGACAGGTAGACCACCAGTCTCAACTTCAGCATCCAGTGAGGAAAAACCTGCTTGGCCCCATGCAGCTTTTTCCACCCCCAAACAGCCCAAGACACCAGGAAGTCCTTCAGAATATGGAGCACATGGGAGGGAAAATTCTTTCAGCCTACACTGCAGAAAGAGGGTGTGACTAGCAGGGGGCAGGATTCGGCCCTGGGCTGCCGTTTCCCACACCCCTGCTTTAGTCAAATTAGTCCTCCTTCCGGCTTGAACCCATTGATCAGGTGCTTTCCCCTGCGATGCAACAAAAGTGAAATGCACAATACAGTCATGTGGAAAGCTGGTTGTCAACGTGTCTGGGAACTCTGTGTTTTGCGCACAGGTAGGAAACACACCTAACACATGTCAGCCGCGAAGCAAGGCGTGCGTGAAAAGAGCACCCCGGGCAGGCAGACACTGGGAGCTTCTCCCAGCCCTCTGGCGACGGGCAGGCCCAATGAAGTGAGGGGAAAATGTCTCACCCGTGGACCTGGCGAGATTAAGCCAACGTGCACGGATGCTGAGGTGCGAGGAAATTGGTGGCTGTCAAAATGAGGGCTAAAAGTAACGCTAGCAAAAATTTAACGACTACTGTCTCTTGTGAGCCCAAGCTTTTTCAGACTCCGCTGTCCTTGCACCTGGCAGAATCTGCAAGTTTCTAGTCCCGTGTGCCGCTGGAGGTGTTTTATTTGTCAGTTGGAATTAAAGCACACGCTGAGACCAGTAAGTCCAAGTCTATGTTATGCTATGTTCTGAAAGCAGGCATTCTGCGATGCCAAGGGGGAAAAAAAGACATTTGCAAATATTTTCAGCTGAGAGAAGGTACCACCCGATTTCCTCTATTTTCACTGCACAGAATTATTTCTTTATCACAATGCTTAATCGGTCCAAACTTCTGAGATTATATAAAAGAGGGACTGCAGGGCCCTTCTCTCCCTTTCCAAAATGTATTTTATTGTCTCTATTCACTGCATTTTCATCCCACACTTTAGCCAAAACAGGGCTCTTTACAGATAATGAGAAACAGAGCGGCTAAGCAGGGTTGTACGTAACCCCTTAAGAACTGCAAAGCGCTCTCGGGTGAGTTTGTCCTATAAGAAAGTAGGGAAATGCCAGCTGCTCCTAGCTTGGGGTATGGTTTTGCTTCTGGGGTTCTGCAGACAGTTCATCCCACCGCATTGGTATTGTGGAGTACTGACGCGTGTGCACACAAATCTTGGGGGTTCTTGTCCCGCCACGCACAGTCCCCATTCCGTCGGCAGGAGGATCAGAACCTGTCTTGTATTACTATCAGACACCAAGATAAGCTCTGGAGGTGAGTCACTGAGCAACTTGTGGTTCTCCTTAAGCAAACGGGGTTGCTTGGTAAATGGGCACCACACCCAAGCTGGCAGAAACGGGCTCAGACTTGCTCCAATTTTATCACAAAAAGGTGAGCGCAACAAAGGAATCGCATCAGGCATTGGTTAAGCCTGTCAAAAGCCAACATGAATTCAACCACAACCCAAATGCCAAGATTTTGGGTGCAATCTAGTCCTTTTTTCTGGCTAATCCTCGGGTTATCTGAAGGACTGCCTGGTCCCATACGCACCTGCCTGGACCATGAGGTCGTCTTTGGGAGTCATAGAATCCTAGAATAGTAGAGTTGGAAGGGGCCATGAAGGCCATCAGGTCCACCCCCTGCTGTTGCAGGACACCAAGTCACACCACCCCACTCAGAGGGCTGCCCAGTTCCTTTTTGGATGTCCCCAGTGTGACTCTAGAAGTTGCTTCCAAAGGAAGTAAGGTAGGTAAGCCAGCAGGAGGGCCTTTTCGGTTGTGGCACCATCTCCCTAAAGAGGTATCCCTAGCATCTACTTAGTATTCCTTTTGGCTCCTCTCAGCATTTCAATATTTTAATTCTTCAACTTTTTTAAAATATTGCATTTTATTCTATACTGATTCAATAGCAGCTATGGCTTTCCCGCTTTAAGTGGATCTTATCTTGTGTCTTTGTGTGTGTTTTTAATTTTTCTTTTGCTTACCACCCAGAAAGTACAAGCTATGCAGCGGTACAAAAATGGAATGAAGAATGTCTATTCTTTTATTCTTATTACTGTATCGTGTTTACACCCTGTTGCTTGCCATGTGTTAGTAATTAATCTAGGATTCATTACTCCACGGTGGGAGGAAGGTTCGGAGCAGATGCTCTTCCAGGTTCAGCCCAGCCCTGATATTCCCGAAAGTCAAAGGGAACCAAAGTTCCCAGAGGACTAGAGCAGTTTTATTGTAGGGGGGAAGCTTTAAAATTATTTGCAGCTAGCCAATAAATTCCACAACACCGCAAACCAGGAAGCAAAGAGCTCAGCCAAGAAACCCATCTGGCTGAGGTGGACGAATGTGCAGGCCTAATCTGGGACAAACGAGGAGCATCACACAGGAAGTGGCATGAGGAACATTTTACAAGGAGAGGCCAGAGCGCCAAGGTCAGAGCAAAGAAGAAAGAAGCCAAGGACATGCAGAGAAGCTCCAGGTTCCACTTGCAGCTTCCCCGCTATTGTAGGGGGGAAGCTTTAAAATTATTTGCAGCTAGCCAATAAATTCCACAACACCGCAAACCAGGAAGCAAAGAGCTCAGCCAAGAAACCCATCTGGCTGAGGTGGACGAATGTGCAGGCCTAATCTGGGACAAACGAGGAGCATCACACAGGAAGTGGCATGAGGAACATTTTACAAGGAGAGGCCAGAGCGCCAAGGTCAGAGCAAAGAAGAAAGAAGCCAAGGACATGCAGAGAAGCTCCAGGTTCCACTTGCAGCTTCCCCGCTTTAACGCAGGGATCAGATCCCACAAGGGGGACTCACAGGGACCCCGAAGGAGAGGCCCAGCATGTAGACAACTGTGTTGGACGCGTGCAGGGAAGCGGGAAGGAAAGCCCCCTCAATCCACCCCCTCCTGCTCCCATATCCTCTTTGTTCATCCATCCAAAGCAAGGGCAAGGCTGGAAAGCTTTGCCCCAGTTCAGGTGCTCGCCAGACGCTCGCTTCATTATTTTGCCACCGCGATAAATGGCATGACGCTCGGATGGGACTCCGCATCTCAGAGGGATCTATCTCCGAGGCAAGGCTGGTGCAGGAGGATTGTGCCAGCCAGGGCCGGGATGTGTTTGCTACCAAGCCCGGTTTAAGGTCTTGTCGCTTGCCCAGAACGCCCCGGAGAGCCAGCTTCCAAAAGGACCCCCTTCTCTCCTACAGACTCCTGAGGTCCCTGCGGACACCCCGCTCTCATCACTGGGAAGTGATAGGAGAGAGTTATTCTTATTTCTATTTTTAGGATTAATTTGTTGTAAACCGTCCCGAGACGTCTAAGTATGGGACGGTTTAGAAAAGTTTTAAACAAACAGATAAATAAATAACACCCCCCCGCACTTTAGGAGAAGCCATTTCCACTTTTTTGAACAGGGGAAAAAGAAACTGCCCTCAAGCCAGACAACCACCCAATTTGCAGAGAAATTGCAAGACCACCTCGTTGCAAAATTGCGCTTTGCTTTCCGTTTGGCAACACAGCTCCAAGGTAATGACTTACTAGCACTAGAGGCGTAAGAGGAAGCAAGAGGCCTGCACCTAAGAGGCAGATACACCAAGTGGCAGATACACCAAGTCTTCCTCGGCTTGTGCCCTCAGATAAGGTTCAGAGAGCAAAATGACTTGACTGATAAGTGAAGTACAGGTGACACTAAACTGCACCACTCTAGCCTAACTCCTCCTACTCAGAAAGTCATCTGAAAGTTCACCCTCGAGTCATCTGCCCACATGAACCAGCTGAACTGGAAGGAACAGAATTAACCATGACAGAAACGTGAAAAGACAAGGTTCTCCCATGCAAAGACCCTCAATATTTTTTGAGCCTGTCCGCCTGCCCGCCCACCTGCCCGCCTTCCTTCCTTCCTTCCTTCAGACGAACGAGGTCGCTGTGCCCAGTAAGAACCATGTGGGAATTATTTAGTCAGGAGTCTTCCCCTCTATATAAATGTATTTCTCTCTGCAAGACGGTTCTGTCTTATCTCTTTAAAAGCCTGATAACAGAAGGAAAGCACTGTTGGGACACAGGGCTAAAGGCAAGTCCAGTGAAGGGGGAAATATCAGCATCCCTTGGGAGCAGCTTTTCCACCCCTGGACTGCAAGGTATTCCCCCTATAGTCACCTTGCAGAAAATAGACAGAATCGCCCCGGATAATTTAATTTTCCTTCATAGGGAAAGGCATCACACAACTTTTCTAGGCCCACAAGGTGGAGGAAACTGCCTTCCAGAGTGTTGTTGGGCAAACTACAGCTCCCATCATTCCTTAGCACTGACCATGCTGTCTGGGCCTGATGGGAGGTGGAGACCAACGGCATCTTGGTAGCCGCTGGTGCTCCAGTCTGTTGGTACAATATCCTTTCTGAGATGGAGCAACTAAAAATGGAGAAAGCACGACAAATATCGGCTGCACCACAGAAATTAGTATTTGCCTAGGTTGCCTAGTGCAGATAATACAGCTCGTTTTATTGCCAGAGGCTTTCCTGCTAAGCCCTAGTGTGGAATGTGCCCTTTTCACAGCAGCTGCACACCAAGCTGACCTCTTCACTGTACCTGCCTGCTCACCTGGAAGTATTCTGGACTCGCACCAGGCGAGTAGTTATTTTACTTGCTTTACTGAAAACGGCATTACCGTTGGGCATTGACCTGAGTTGGTACAGCCCTCACCTGAGATCTCGTCATTTCTCCCCTGCCCTTCCAGTAAGTTTGTCTTTGTGCAATCCAGAAAATTAGAGCAAGGGCTCTGTTCTCTTTGAATCTCAAAACATTACACACCTCATTTGAGCAACCAATCAATTGGTATAATGGGGGTTCAACAGTCGGGGAGGAGACACAGCTCAGTAACAAAGCACTTACTGGGATTCACTTCTTGGGGCATTTCCAGGTGGGACTGGAAAAGGTACCTGCATGAGAGCTGGCCTGGGAGCTTCCACCCATCAGTATAGAGAAGACTCAATTGGGCCCAAGAGCCTCACTTTCTATTAAGCCAGTTCCTATGCTCCTGTCTTCAACCAGCCTGTCAGTCCAGAACATGAGGACTGGAACCTCGCTTTCTTATTTGCAAGGGGGAGAGCCTTCTATCCATGAAAAACACCTGCCCTGCATTCAAAAGGTCCTGGGATCAGTTCCTGGCATCTCTGCATGCGGAAGGGAAATCCCTCCGCCTGAAGTCGGGAATGTCGCTGCCAGGGCTGTGGAAACTGTCCTTTAGATCATCCTGATTTGCATGAGCTAAACAGCTGGAATTATACCACATCCTCCTCAAAGGCTTTATATGCATGGAAACAAGGTTGGGACGACCACCAATTCGACTTAAAGGCCACTGACAGCCTGTTTTTCCATAATCAGAAGGGTCCTGCCTTTCGGGTAAGACAAAAATTCTTCTGACCCTGCATGCTGTTTCCAACAGAGGACAGCCAGAAGCTTCCTGGAAGCCTTGGAGTAACATGCAAAGGCGCAACAGCTTTCCCTTACAGTTTGCTCTTTAAAGAGGACCCTGCCCTCCGAAACTGAAGTCTCAATCGAGTTGATGCATTGCTCCCCCCCCCACAAACCTCAGCCTTCCAGATGTGCTCTACTACAAATCACATAATCCCCAAGCCAGCTATTTCCAGGTGGGGGGAAGCCACCAGTGGCTGAACTGCATGGGAAAAGCATGTACTTTTAGCAGTACCACCAATCGGCTCAGCAGGGCGACCTCAAGTCATCGGATCATAGAATAGTTGAGTTGGGAAGGAACCTCTAGGGCAACCCCCTGCCCAATGCAGGACTCCAGGTCCAAGCATCCCTGTCCAAGCATCTCTGTCTGCAAGGGGAAATTAACTGCATGGGATAAACTGTCCAGCTTTCCAAAACATTTTCTTCTTCGGTTTTTCGAAACAAGGAAAGTGGCCTTTATTCTCACTCCTCCAGCGTGTTTTCTCACTCAACATCTTCGCCCCCACCCGAAGAAAGACCTAGTGGTGCTCCAAAGCATATTTCAGAAGCCACGGTTGAGTGTTTCTGCAACCACCACCGACTCTGCTTCCTTTCTAAACAAGACTTTGCTGTTCACACGGGCCCTTCTTGCCCTAATCCAGATTGCACCACTCCGGAGCACTCCCGATGTTCTGGAGGACAGCTCCCATCACCGCAGGCTGGATTCCCTAATCCACTGTGTATGAGGAAGCTCAGGGACGCCTCAGCCCTCCGGGGGAAGCAAATGCCTCTCCACATATGCTCAGAGACCCTCTCTTCCCCCATCTTAAACTTTCCCAAAGATTTTATCTCCATTTAGCTCGACAAGCCAAAGGCTCCGGCCGCACCGGGCGACTGCTCCACCAGCTAAATCGATCCCAAGCAGCGGCATTCGCACATTCCGGGGCAGAGGCGACTTCGGCGGAAACGGGAGCCGTACGCGTCTTGCCTCCCCCACCACGGAGCGAGGCGGGGGCGCGGGAGACCCCCGACTCCTCCCCCCAGCGGCCCCCGAGGCAGCGGGCCAGCCCGCAACTGGGGAGGGGAGGGGAGGGCCCGATCCGCCGCGGGGAGCCCCAGCAGGGCAGCGGGCGGAGCGAGCTGCGGCGCCGCGCACAGCCCCCCGGGGCACAGCCCCCTCGCCCCGGGCAGCCCCCCAGGCTCACCTGCGCCCGGGTCTGGCCTCGGCCGGCTCGGCGTCAGGGCGAACGGCGCTTGCGGAAGGAAGGCGAGGCGCGGATGCGGGAAGCGACCCAGGCGGGCGGAGTGCGCGGCGCTGGCTCCCCCCAGCTCGCCAGGCGGCGGCTCCGCCCTGCCAAACGCCTCCTCCGCCTCTCGCTCCCGGGGGCCTGGCGGAGGGGGCGGCGAGGAGGAGGAGCAGCAGCAGCAGCAGCAGCGGCGCGCCCGCCGGGCTGAGGAGCGCCCGGCTGGGAGCGGCGGCCCGGGGGGCTCGCCCGCCCGGCCGGGTAGCGCCGTGCCGCGGCCCCCCGCCCGGGCAGCGCCCGCCCCGCCCGCCGCATTCCCCGCATTGCAACAGCGAGCGGACAGACCGGCCGCCGCAACCGGCGCGGCCAGGGCGTGCGCCCCGGGAGCGGCCGTGCGCCAGGCGCGGCGGGGTCCCTTGCGCCGCTCCCACGTCCCCCGTGCTGCGCCTGGCCTGGCCTGGCCTGGCCTTGCCTTGCCTGGCCGCCGGGCGAGCCTCCGGGGGGGCTCCGGGGCGCAGGAGCTGCCGATGCCAACTCTGGGGGCTCGGACACGCCGAGGGAGGTCCGGGCGGCGCCCCAGCGGCTCCCGCCGCGGCTCTTCCTGGCGGAGACACCCGGGGCCCACCTCCCTCCCCGGGGGTGCCAGGCGCCTCTTCCAGCCACGCAGCAACCCTGCAAAGGGAGCGTGGCGAGCTGAAGGAAGATGTTTAGAAGTTGGAGCCAGGAGGCGAGCCGGAGGAGAGTCTTCCTGCTCCAACGCTGCGTTCACACGATGGGATGCCCGGGATAGCACGACAGCGGCGCGGTGCCCCCACAAGCCTCCTGCAACTGCGTGGGGGAGGCAGTCTCACGCGGCCCCCCCGATCCAGCGGTCGAATCTCACCCGTGGCCACAGGCCGCTTCTCCCTCCCGGGAAGACGCACAAACCCGTTTAAAGCTCTTGTCCAAACCGGCAGCCGGCAAGTCACCCGTGATCTGTGCGCACCTGCCCTTTTATCTGTCCCAGATGCCCCCCCCCCCCACGGCTCTTTCGGGTTTCTAGCATTGGGAGTGGGGAAACGGAACTCTCCCTCTTCCTGTTCCCTCCACACCGTGCATCGTTTCGGACACCACCTCCTCCCCCCCACGTGCCGCAGTCCCTGCAGTTGCTCACAGGGAGCTCCCCCCCCCCCACACCCCCCGCGATCATGCTGGCTGCCCTTTTCTGCATTTACTCCAACTCTTGAATACTCTTTTTTGAAAGTGTGGGTGACCAGAAATGCGCATATCGCAGGCTCAGGAGGTGGAAAGAATCCGCGGTTGCTTTCTGCACGTCAGATTTCAAACACACGATTGCATTTTCCAGTCCAAGACCCCGATGCAATCCTTCGAGGGCAGAAGAGGAAAGGGCTGGGAATCGGGGCGGGGAGCAAGAGGAATACAGAGCAGGGCAGCAAGGCGAGGACATTAAATGCCTCCAGCAGAAGGCGCCCTGCGCGGCCATGGTCCCCTGCGCCTAATCATACCGGGAACTGTCGGAACAAGAGGAGGAGAAGCCCTGTGCTGCGAGAACAGCTTTAAGACTCATGGGGGGATTCCTGCTCTGATCGGGAAGCCAGGTTGCGAGTCTTGCTGGCCAGGTACGCCTTCGATGTGCGAAGGTACGCCTACCCCGACAGTCCTTCCTCTTGCATCCGCCCGTTCGACCTCGCTGCGGGCGCATGAGAGGAACCCAAGCCCCTTCCCGCCCTCAGAGCGGTGCATGAAACCGCTGGGTTGTTATGTCTCGGATGGACTTCCTCTTCGTAGTCCCTCCAGGGCTACCGCCATGCTCCACCTCCTGTCCGATTGTCTGAACGCAGCGCAAGTGTTCTTTTGAGTGTACACCCCCAGTGGACTCCGGTTTTGTTTTGGTCAGAATCTTCTTTATTCTGAGGGGCGCGGGTTGGATAGAAAGGTACCCTCTGAGTTGCACCAACAGCTCATCTAGGCCAGCTGCCCCCGGACTCTGCGCCGCTGCCAGCCCACCATGGTGTGAGCACCGCCCGTGGGACCAACCCGAGAGAAAAAAAGCTCGCGTGAAAAATCCCAAGAGCACCCCGCTCACTCCTTCTAAAGCCATGGGACTTGCTGGCAGAAACAAGGTTGCTTAAATTTAAAATTGGAGGTAAGAGGGCGGTGCTGCAGGACCAGGGGTGCCTCCTTCCCCACGTGGCTGCCCGGACGGCTCAGAAATACCCCAAATAAATAAGAGGCAATGCAGACGCCGCCACCCCAAAAAGGGAGACAACAGAGGCTGTCCCTTCTCCTCCAGGAACACTTTTCCCGCCTTCCCCCATTCCTCCTCCCACACCTGAGCCAAACCACGCCCACGCAGGTGAGCCGCCCCCCACTGGCCTCGCCCCCTCTTGCAGCGCCGCCCCCTGTAAGCGCGGCCCCACTCCGGGTGCACCAATCCCCGCCAAGCAGGCGGGATTAAAAGCCGCTCGCCGCCCCCTTCCCCCCCCCCCCCCCCCCCAGGATTGCGAGGCGCCGTGTGCGCGCTGGCCCGCTGCCCGCAATAGGCTTACTTCCGAGTAGGCGCGCGTAGCTTGCACTGTACATGGGGGCTTCCCTTTGGAAGCAGCAAGCTTCCTTCTCCTAAAGCAGATCATTTTTGAACCATCGTGGATTTGCTTTGCTTGCCAGAGATACTGCCGTGGTGATATTGGGTAATGTGCGGCTTTTTCTCCTCTTGCAGGGAACCCAAAGCTGCTCGCAAAGTTTGTGTATTTATTTAAAATATTTCTATGCCGCCCCCATCGCCACAAAGCCTCGGGGCGGCTCACAATAGAAGTTCTCTCCTTCAATGGAGCCGCACAGCACCCTGTGAGGTAGGCTAGGCTGCAGGTCTCTCTCTCTCTCTCTCTCTCTCTCTCTCTCTCTCTCTCTCGGCCAAAGTCATCTAACAATTTTCATGACTGAGTGGGGACTAGACCTTGTATCTCAGAGTTTGGGCTAGTGCCTGGACCACTGCAATTGGGGATTAAATACAGCATATTATTCCTGTGTATGGGAGGCAAGCGTTGTTGAGGGGGGACTTTTAGTCAGTGGCCAAATCCCCTGAAATACGTAGTGGTCCCTTTTGTACTGCTTTAATTTGTAGTGGCAGCAGGGAGTTTTGGGGAGTGGCACTAGGATAGTAAATTCCCTATTTCTGAGCTGTGAAATTGGACGTATAAAATCTGGAGTACCACCAGATAAAGACCATGTAAGGTATTGAAAAAGCAAAGTAAAAACACAGCTAAAAACACCCCAAGCATGAGATAAACAGTGAAAGAGAGCAGTGCTATTACTCCTCAGTAGAAGTCCCAATAAACTGGAGATTATCTGAGATACCCACTTTGAAGTAAGGTTTTCTTACTCAATGTATTTGACAATATTTAATCTTTTGATGCTTTGCTGACTGGGCCATGCTGGGACTTGTAGGATTCTTTCCTGTCTGAATATACATCGAATGGTACCTTTAAATACTCTGTTTTGCCATGGTTTTTAACCGAGGTTTCCCCCTTTACTTTTGCTGTTTTTTGCATGGTTTTAGGCTGCATAGCTGACTGCCTGTAAACCCCTCTGAAAGGCTCCCTTTTTTGGCCTAGAGAATGGGATAAAAATATTTCAAACATATAAATATAACGTTTGGCTTTTACTGTCTTCATCTAGTTAAGACCTGGCCTGAAAAAGCAAACTGATAGGGAAGCATCATGCAAGAAGTTGAGCTTCAGAGTCAAAATGTGCAGAAAGTATTTGGTAGAGGAAAGTATTTATTCATTTGCTGTGAAGGAACTGCTCCAGAACATAATGGATTTCAATGGGATTTTAATTTTCCTCTTGTTTGTAGTGGTTAGAGCTTGGAACTCCAATCCCTTTACTGGGTGAACTTCATGGGCTGGCTTCTTTCTCTCTCTGCCTCAAAGGGTGGCTGTAAGAATACAACAGGGGAGAAATTCTATGCAGTGTCTCAGGCTAACCCCCCACCCTGATTATTTTGGGGATAAAATAAAGGGGAGAAACTTAGCTGGTCACGCTCCTGCAACTACCCTGCAAGGATGTTGTGAAGATATACCACTGGATGGAATCCCGGGTGAGTTGCTTTCTCACCACCTCACCCACCTCAAAGGGATAAAATGGAGAGACAAATCTTAGCCAGACACAGGACAACATGTTAATCCAGTGATTCCCAAAGCGGGAAGTGTGGGGGCAGCGGTTGTTTTAAATTTGCAGTAAAGCAGTAGACCTACTACAAAGAAGTGTGGGGAAACTAGGCTTGTCACCCAAGAAAGGGGGTGGGTGCTCAAATGGGGGCCACTTTGAAGGAGAGGTTTATTACCATAAACAAGAAAAAAGTTGCAAGCCTGTCTCTGCATATTGACTCAGGCCTCATGGAACTCCCTAGCACTTACTTCTGAGTAGACATGCATTACATGACACTGCAAACTGTGTGACCTCTTTATGGGCGAGTTCAAATCATGAGGACTAGAATCCGGGCATTGCGTTCGGGTTGGTATTTAACTGGGTTGTGTGCAGAGAAACACATTAGCGCTCTTGGTATTATCGCAGCGGATCTGCAATGAGGCGAAGGAGGCTTAGAGTGGCGTGCCCGGGTTACAGGCTGTCCGGGTAACATCTGAACGCGAGACACGTTTCTGAGACCGCCTCCCGCCTAGCAACCGCTGTTCCATCCAATTGGCCCAGCTCGGGAGGAATTTTTCGATTGGTCCGAAGTCAGGCGTCTCCTCCAATCAGCGGGAGCCACGGGACCCTCTTTCGCCTGTCCGGCGTTAAAGGACAACACAGCCCGGCGCTCGGCGGAGCGAACCATCGGGGGACGCGAGGAGGGGGGAGCGAGCGGAGAAAGACCAGGCGCGGGGAGGTCGGAAGAGCAGCGGAGCCTTTGAAAGGCTGGAAATGCTTTTGCGGGTCTTGCTGTCCACGCGGACGAATGGAGTCCCGGCCACGGAGCGGGGAGCGCGAGGCGACGCCCGCACGCCGAGGGGAGCGCTTGGTACAGCCGGAGCGGAAGTGAGGTGTCTGCCGAGTGTCGCGGCTTCCGGTTGGCGCAGGCGGAGGAGTTGGCGGCGCTGGTCGCGGGGGGCGCGCGGGCTGCCGGGGCTGGTGAGTGCGGGGCCGGGCCGGGCCGGGCCGCCGCCGGTGGGGAGCCGCGGGG